TTTTTGCCCATTTGCATCAAAAAAATTCCAAAAACTTTAAAAATAACGATTATGACAATTGTCTTATCTAGGGTACATCTTCACTCAAGTTTTATTTAAACATGTTAGCAATTTATTTTTCGCTCATTTGCGTCAAAAAAATTCAAAAAACTTTAAAAATGATTATGACAATTGTCACTTATATTTGGTACATCTTCACTGAAGTTTTATTTAAACATGTTATCAATACTTATTTTGGCCCATATACGTCAAAAAAAGTTTAAAACGATTATTACAATTGTAATTTTTCTGTGGTGAATCTTCATGAAATTTTAATTTGACATTTTTACAATCTATATTTTTACCCTTTTATATATCAAAAAATTTCAAAAAACTTTAAAAACAACGATTATGACAATTGTCACTTATCTATGGTACATCTTCATTGATGTTTTATTTTAACATGTTAGTAACTTCTATTTTTGCCCATTTGCATCAAAAAAATTCCAAAAACTTTAAAAATAACGATTATGACAATTGTCTTATCTAGGGTACATCTTCACTCAAGTTTTATTTAAACATGTTAGCAATTAATTTTTCGCTCATTTGCGTCAAAAAAATTCAAAAAACTTTAAAAATGATTATGACAATTGTCACTTATATTGGGTACATCTTCACTGAAGTTTTATTTAAACATGTTATCAATACTTATTTTGGCCCATATACGTCAAAAAAAGTTTAAAACGATTATTACAATTGTAATTTTTCTGTGGTGAATCTTCATGAAATTTTAATTTAACAAGTTTACTATCTATATTTTTACCCATTTGCATCAAAAAACTTTAAAAATAAGGATTATGACAATTGTCATTTATCTAGGGTACATCTTCACTGAAGTTTTATTAATACATGTTAACAATACTTATTTTAACCGATTTACGTCAAAAAAATTTAAAAAACTTTAAAAATAACGATTATGATAATTGTCACTTTTATATGGTGCATCTTAATTAAAATTTTAATTTATCATGTTAAAAATACATATTTTACCGTAAAAAAAATCTAATATGTTTAAAAATACCGATTATGATAATTGTCATTTTTCCAAAGAACATATTCAATAACTAATATACAAATTGTCAGATTAAATTATTATCATTAAAACGATCATATACATAAATAACACCTCTTTTAATATACTTAAAAAATAGATAATTTTACAAAAATGATAAAAAAAACTGTAAAAGATTTCACCTAAAAGATTGTTTATTTATAATAAAATTCACAAAAGAATTCTTCAAAAAAGATTTAAAATTTTTATCAAAATATGTTTAAAAATCTTTTTGAACTTCAAAAAATTTTTGCTTGAAATTTTGGGCTTGTGTAAATCACTAATAAATTGTAACAAAAATTATATAGTAGCATATCATTTTTTTTATTAAAAAAATATCAAATAAAATAAATCCATTTTTCATTTCATAAGATAATAATATAAATTTTATCATATAATATGTTTATTTGTTGATAAATAAAATATTAACATTAACATTAAATGTAAATAAAATAAATTATTTTAATAAAAATAAAAAAATAATAATAGGCCGCGTTATATTTCGCGATATTAACTTCGCTATAAAATTTTCGCGATTATTGATTCGCGATAAAAATTTCGCTCTAATGTATTCGCTTTAAAAGATTCGCGATAAGAGTTTCGCTATAAAAAATTCACGATATTTGTTTCGCTATATTGTTTTCGCGGAAAAATATTTGTTAATGTGGATTCGCGATAAAAGTTACGCTATAAAATTCATTCGCGATAAAAGTTTCGCTGAATTGACATGGAACCCCATATAATAACTATATATATGTATGAAATTTTGACCTATATACAAATTTTATTTTTATTTATTAAATTAAAAATATTCATCCCTGCAACTCTTTTAATTCGAGTTAAATTCAGTTTACAACTATCATTTCCATGACAATTGTCTTTTTTATTACAAATATTTCAATGGTTTTTATTGAATATCATCATGGAAGCGATAGATCCGTCACCCCATTGGAGCCAGCCCTACTGAACATATATTTATGACTAAACTAAACCAATCTATTATGAAACCAAAATTAAGAGTTATACAATGTTACTATTAATTATACAACCCTGAATTTTATGATTGCAATTTATTAAATAGGATATTTTATCCAAAATAAAATGCATTAAAATTTCGTTCATACATACGAGTTGGATTAGCGATTTTAATATTAAGTTCATTTACGATTTTTTCTATTAACATTCAACTATTTGGATTAGTTTAAGCTCACTAGCATGTTGATGCCTTTTACAAATATTTATTAAAGAATATATATTAGGAGGTGCATATAGTTTGATGGTATGATGATATCCCTCTAAGTGATTGTTTGTCCTGGGGCCATCATATTGATATCTAAATTCTAAAATTATTTTGTATATATATACATTATTTTTTAATACTTAGTCCATATGCTATGGATAAGGCATTAATGGAAAGTCATAAGATTTTTGAGCTAAGGATTTTTAAATGACATGGCAAAGGCACGATAATCTAGCTTGTGACACATCTTCCTCTCGGCAAAAGGGTAAAGTGGTCATTGTTTGACCACTTTGCCACCAAGAATTGCCTCTATTGTTTATTGTTAACCCTAACATCTGACATTTTCGCTATATGGCTTAAGAATAGTGAGAAACTATAAAACTTACAATACCATTGCAGAGAAAACAAATTTTAGAGCTTATTTTGCAGCTGTCTCATAATCAGTCTACCCATATTTAGGATATTGTTTTCTTTACTACACACTATCCTATAATTATTTAAGTGAATTCTATATATATGGTTCTGGCTTTAAAAAGAAGTGCATAACGTGGCACAACATAAAGTGTGCTCTCCATATATATTATATCGGCATCCCATGTTTCTATGAGCTTTAACATGCTACATGTCCCAAATACCATAATATTATTACTCATAAAATAATGATCACCTCTATTTTAGGTCAGAGGACTTTCGGCTATAAATTCTTAGAATTCCTGATTGGGATGTTCAATTATCATATTTTATTTAACTCTGCATTCAGTTTTAATTGTTTCTTCCACTATTCGCAAGCCATATGGCGAAAGCGTTAAGGGTTATCGATAGACTAGAGTTAATTCTACTGATCATCAAATTGTCAGGCGTTTGACCACTTTACCCTTTTACTGAGGGAAAGATGTCTCACACGTTAGATTATGGTGCTTTGACAGGCCATTTGAAGTATCTTTTGCTCACAAATTTTATGCAATATATGGATCTGAGATGACTTTCCACTAATTCCTTATTTCCTCATAGTATATGGACTAGGTATAAATAAAATAATTTTAAAATTTCGATATCAAGTTTATGGTCATAGTATAAACAATAACTTAGAGAGATATCATCATAGTTACAAATGAAAAACTCTATGGCACATCCTAATATTTATGTAAGAATTTTAAAAAGATATCGAATTGAGAATAGCGGGTTGGATGTTGATAAAAAAACATAAATATTATGAACGAAATTTTGATGTTTTTTTGGATAAAATTTAGGGTCGCGTAAATAAAGTAACATTATAAAAAAAAAGCTAATTTCATTTCATAGTAGATTGGTTTGGTTATTAATATATCCAGTGGCTCCGACATCAGGGAGATGGCGGATCTGTCGCCTCCATTGAGATATTCTATGAAATAATATTATTTAACCATTAGTATCATGAATATTAAATTTTCTAAAAAAAATTAAGCTTCCATAGAAATTTTTGTAAGTTGTCACAAAGAAACAAAAACAATTAAGATATATAGATAGATCTTACGCATAGGTTATAAATCGTGCACAATGTACGTATAAATACCCGAGATAAACCCTTTAATTTAGATTTTTTAATAAGGCTGGACATTAATCGATGTCTACTATTCACAAATAAGCATAAACAATTAAAAAATAGCGAATCTTACGCGTAAGTTACAAATCATGAAAGTATAGATTAATTACCCGAAATAAACGTTTTAATTCGGTTAGTAAGATTGGCATTCATAAATGTCTATTTTTTTATAACCCAGATGTATAGATAAATTTTATATTTTCAATCATTAAATATCTCGCTATTTTAATCATCACTATTTGGAGGTGGAACTCAAAACTCTGCTTTCTTTACCATGTTAAATATTTAATAATTTTTTTTAAAATATGGGTCTTATGGCCTGTAGAAAATTTAAAATTAATATTTCGTTCAAAAGGAGCTCTAATTTTTCAATTTTTTTTCTTTCTATTATTCATTTACTATTTTTCTAATAATTAAATATTTGGAATAACGGCTAAATTATAAAAAATGTCTCCTTTTACCTTTACCTATTATCATTTAATTAATTAGCTATTAACAAAGAATTATAATAATTATTCTAATACCATAATTCATTTTTAAACAATATCTTAATTTTTTTAGTTGTGGCTTATTCCTCATTTTAAATCTTAAATCCTTGTAAAAAGTTCTCCGATTTTTATATAATTTTAAGCAATATTACTTAAGAAAATATATTTATATAAAGTGGAATGGCAAGCTTTCACTTTCATGGTTAAAATCAATAAAAATACTAAAAAAAACACTTTTTTTGCATAATATGTAATTAATTGTTCTAATAATATTTAAAATGTTTATATATGATATTCTTATTATAGTAAAGACTCTACAACATAATTTATGCAATATTTTAATTTTTATTGGCTTGAAAATATTTAAAAATAGCAAATTACATAATTATATATAAACCATATTTACCAAAAAATTCTAACCATCAAACTTTAGAATTTTTTATAATTTTTTTTTTAAATTTCGCATAAATAAATGTTGTAGATTCCTATTTAACATAAAAAACTTTTTTATTTATTTTCCTCATGAAAGCGAAATTCCAATTTTTTTTAGCTATTTATTCTGCTTGGATTTTATATTACTATTTATATTCATATTAAAAGAATCAATTTCGATTACGTTTAAAAACCTCAAGAAACAAAAAGGAAGAGATTATATCCTATTTATTTTGATTATGTATATGTTGTAAATCCAATATTTGTTTATAAATGTATAATTTTTTTTTATTAATATGTTTACATATTATTTTAGAAGTTATATTCAATAAATAGATTTATATATATCATAAATGTTTCAAGATTTTCTTTTATAAATTAAAAAAAAATTCTAAGTTCATTAAAAAGTATTATAATATTGTATTATAAATGTTTAAATACATCTTAATTTATGCTAGTATTTTTTTCAACAAAACTCAGGTATGGGCTAGATTTAAAGATCTGCAAAATCATTTTTTCAGCCCAACCCTGCCCAAATTTTTTTAGGCCTCTAGAATGGTTTATAATTTTGAATATTAATTACGCATTTACAAATTACTAAGTTTTTTCATAATCTCATTCCCAGAGAATAGTCAATTCCAATTATTGTTTTTGTTCAAAAGATAAGACATCTATTTTTTAAGTTTGGCCCCGATCTATCCATATTTTAGGTTCGAACTCTTCCCGATATTTTTATTTTTACTGAACCGGGTTACGGACCTTCAGGGCTCTTAGCTAGAGTCAGAAGTTTTCACGAAGGGTTATATTTATTTTAGGGGGGTGCTTAAAAGTTGTTTTATACAATAAAAATTATATTTAAAAAAAAACTTCAATAGCCTTTTAGTATCTAAATTTTTTAAATAAAATTGGGCGTTCTCAAAGATAAAAATAAAATAAGGGTTTAACTTTTACTTCTCCTCTCCCCACCTTCTGACGCCAATGGCTAGTTAAAAAAATTATGGATTTATCGCTAGTTTTATACTGAGTTCTCCACCTGTTGATTCAAACTGATAACTAAGGAATGCTGACATAGATTAAGGTATCTGCTTGATTTCTCCAAAATGTAGATATAGACTAATATTAAGTTTTTGAAAAGAAATTGTAAAGGTTTAGGCTGAAAACAAATTATTAGGGGTGTATCGATACCACTTTTTGGAGGCCCATCCGATTCGATATTCCCGATATTAAATTGATATCGGCAGATTATCGATCCGATATCATATCTAATTTTGTATTCTGTAAAGATACCAATGGTTTTAATATACTTTTTATTAATATAACATCTACAATTTAACTACACCATAACTTATGTCATTTAAATATATTATAATGATCAGTCATAGTTTATATTCAATTCAATTACAATTTTAAAAGTATATAAAATATTTTTATTGTTAAATTAATATTATATAAAAGTAATAACATTAATCTATATACATAATAAATAAACAATTATATTATGAAATTTGAAATAAATATTTAAATATTTAACATTAATATATTGAAGATTTCTTTTTAGAAATACCAATATTTCCAATTTATCAGAGGTCAGCCTTCGGCGTTGGTAACTGTCAATATCGCCAGCTTCACTAAAAACAAATTCTGAAAAGATTATCGCACAATTCTGAAAAGATTATCGCACATTTTACAAACAAAATGCGCAAAAAAAAATAACAATATGGCAGAAATTAATTAATTATTATTATTAAAAAAATATACATAAAAATGGATTTTTAGATATAACTTTTTTAAAAAATTTTATAACATTTTATTTTTGTTAAAGACGCCATTTTATATCGGATTGAAAAATTTTATAATATTAGCTGATAACCGATATTTTAAAATGGGTGAAATATCGGTCCGATCCGATAAAAATATCGGTACATCCCTACAAATAATTCAAAAAATTTTAGAAAATAATAATAAACTCATATTTTAAATGAAGCCATATTCTCTCTAATCCAAGAAAATGAGAATGTTTGTATCGTGTATCAAATACGAGTCATTTTATGATAGGCCTAGCTAAACGCGCTAAATGAATTTTTAAATTCACTTTATTCTTTAAAAAGAATTAATTTGCATTATTATTACAATCTTTCTTTAGCAAAGTATTTATAATCATATAAAAATTCATTTTTAATAAGAATAATTTATTCATCACTTTACCATTTAACTTTTCCATCTTTATATAAAGCTTCCAGTTCATTATTAAAACCATTTAGCATATCCATTGTTCGAACAATTTCATGAATCCATTTATCTTCTTGGCATCTAAAACGGTCGACCAATCGTTTTCGTTGGATATAATTCCTTTTAAACATGCCTTCTTTTTTGTCCAAACTATTTCTCAGATAAGTAATTTCTTTTTGCATTCCTTTGAGCCACGCATTTTGATTTTCACAGATGTCCCTATAAAATTTGATAGATGCTAGCCGCGATTTCCGATCATAACAAATTTCCCTAGATAAAAATGATATGTTCAAGGATAATTTACCAATTTTACGGTCAAGATTATCCAACTTTTTTGAAATAAGTGGGAAAAATTGGTTGTTTTCTATAAAATTTAATTCATTATTAGGAGATTTATAAATTTCCTCTATCATAGTCATTTGTTTTTCGACTCGTTTTTGTACAATTGCTAACCCATCAACAATATCCTCATCGATTTTTTTCAATTTTTTATTCATTTTATTTTCGCTATTACCATTTTGTACAGACGAGGAAAGATGATCACCATTTACTAAAAAAATAAATTATTTTATATAATGGAAATGTATCCCAAACTTGTTTCACTCAATATTAGGTTACTGTCAATCTTGATTGTCCCTAGCGAGTGTTTGATTTTTCTATTTAATTTATCCTTTTTACCAGAAGACATTTGTGTAAAAATTCCAGTCATCTGTTCATCCTGGGTAATTTCATTTTTATGAATAAAATATTTTTTATTTATTTTGCAACGGATAAAATCTACAATTTTTCTGCTTTTAAATTTAGGTTGTTTAATAATATCATTCATAATTGGTTTGAAAAGGAAATAATTATATAAAATGCTTTAGTTCTAGAATTGTTTATGTAATAACATGAATACATCTGAAGCAAATATTTATAAATATTGTAATTTTAAAAATATAAAATTTCCGACATATTTTTTCTTCCTTGTTAAATTTACTCGTTTTTAATCATTTTAAACTAATAAAAATCACTTCCTACCCCCGTCCCCCCTACCCCTCCTCCTCCCTCTTTTCAATCAATGAGTACAATATGTTATATTACAATGAGGAAAGATATTTTTCAAAATTAATGTTATTTTACGATATAAATGATATTCTTTTTTTCTTTGTGTTTGGTTTTCTATTGATTGTAGCCATCGCAGATTTTCAAAATCTATATTGAAAGATCTGAAAAGATATTTTGTTGACCTATTTTTTACGAATATTGGGTTTTTTTATCCCCCACCACCAAATAAATATGATATTTACCCATACACCAGAGTTGTTAATCGCTACTTTTAAAAGTAGCGCGCTATGGCTATTTGTTAAAAAAAAGTAGCAGCTCCTATTTTTAAAAGTAGCTTTAGCTAATTTATAAAAAAAATAGAGAAACAAATTTGTTTTATTTTTTGCTTATAATGTAATTGTATAGTAAATAATATATAAAAATCAACATTTATAAATATTAAAATATAGTTAGTTTTGATTATAAAAAATTTATGTAATAAAAATAAATATTTATGATAATTTGTTGCATTTTATAAGTTTTTACCTAGTGTTATGTTGCAACTATCTGCCGTGGTACATATATATGATATCTCTGATAACTCTAGAGTATCTTTCATCTAAAGTTATCTGCTATTTTATTCATTAGTGTCTGGCGTCATAAAATTGTTGGACCAGGGGATAGAGTTTAATCATAATGTTAAATGATGGATTATCAACCAAGGATATTGGCTGAACTGTATCAATTATAATATCAACTCAGCTTTATCAGCCAATTTCTGAGAAATATTGGCATTTGTATTATTAATAAATTTGATTTGAATTGAATTAGTCTTTTTGGATGTAGAGTCGCCTATACCAAAATTATTTAGATGTTTCTTTATTTCCTAACTATTGGCATTGTCAAAACGACAAGATTGTCATTGTGCATCAAAACCTAAATATAAAAATAGAAAACAAATATATATATAAAAGGAAATTAATAATAATTAGGAATCACGAAATCATAAAATCAACTTTAATTCTTTATTCAAAATTATAATAGTAAAAATCATAAAAAAAATAAAATATAATTAAAAAAGTTAATAATTTAAAAAAACATCAAAGATTCTTTGTATCGTAAAAATTTGCCTTTTTATACTCTTTTCAATCTTCTTATAACTAATCATAACTATCCAAATATAATCTTTTTATCACGCGTTATAACAATAAATCCACAAGAATTCTTTATGCAAATTACATATAAAGTACAACAAAATCCAAAAGAAATCTTTATGCAAATTAATTCTAACATTCACAACACCTCCCTACTTAAATTAGACCCAACATTCTGCGAATGATCAATCTTCTTTCGATCTCGACTTATTCTTCTTAATTTTTGCTGTCTTCTAAGTTCTAACGAAGGCTTTGTCGCTTGAAATTTTTGAATTCTATCTGTGCTTGTCACCCTGGGAAATGATCAGCTTTTTATCTCTGTAGGCCACTGACGAACTTGATAAACGCTTGTTTTCCACGATCCACGCTTGATGAACGATTATCGATGCCATCCAGTTTCATCGTAACTTGTTTTCTATCATTCTCTTGTAATCCACGATTAGCTTTTTATCTCGATAAACGATTGGTCTGCGATAAACGATGGTTTTCACGAATTCTTGTTCCTATGATTGTCGATTTCCGTATCTTAGACTCAAGTCTCGATAATAATTGGCTATTATTGATCCGCGATTAACTATTGTAGCATAACGTCTTGACCCTCTTTTCTATCAATTTGCTTGTTTTCCCCCTTTCTCTTGTAATTGATTGGTTGTTGCCTCTAATTCTTGTAATCGTATCTATCTTTCAGACTTTCGGGTCTTCTACGACAGTTTGCCCTTGCTGAGATATCGGGTAATCACATCTAATCTACTTCTACCTAAAATAATCTATTTACATATCTACATTTATCTCCTCTAAAATAATTCTGCCTTTAATAAATGGCGTAAATTATACTAAATCTTAAATTTTATAATACGTAGCAAAAT